ATATAAACACACACACCACACACACACACACACACATATATATGATTATAAATTTTTAGAATTTGTTATTGAAAAAAGAACTCAAAAACTAGTAAAACCATTAAAAGAAAGTTTAAAGGAAGCTAAAACCAGCTAAAGTATATCCCTAATAACCTACGACTGAATTTAGAGTAGATAATCTCGCAAACATCCCCTCCCCTCCTCTCCCCTCCCTACCCTTCCCTCCTTGTCACCACACACAAAGGAAAACATGCTCTAGAAACCTGAGAATCAATATAGCAATTTCTGTTATTTAACACTTAGCAATTTTAAAAGTCTTAAAAACTGAAAAATACATTTATTTTTATTTCCAATGTAGCCAAGAAAAAGCTGTTTTTTGATGTCAAAATATTTAGCACTTTTCATGTGTAAGTATATATTAAGACTTGATTTTATTCCTTTAATAAAAAAGGAAAATACAAAATCTAAAAACTTACAATAACAAAATTCTCCACATAATTAAGTAACACATTATGAATTAGACATCTACAAAGTTTCATGGGATCTCTTAGCTCACAGCAGAATTAAGATAATTTAATTTCCAGTGGTCCTTGCAATTGAGGTCAACTTTTATGTACCAAAATTCCCACTGGAAGAGTAACTTTAAGGAACATCCAAATTATACTGTTTTAAAGAAATTTTAGTAAAATTTCTGGAAAACATACAAATGTCTGCTATTGCCTGAAATTTTTATATGGTTTCAAAATAAAAATTATTCCCGTAAAGATATTTATAATAAGGAAAATTTCCTAAAGTGGTTTTCATTTTACCATATTCAACACCTGCAAGTTCCAAGAGAGGAATCACTTTCTGTGAAATCTGTGGTGCTCCCAAAGAAGTGGACCTTTGCATCTGAAAGAAAAGGAATTCATTGTTTATTATCACAAAGATTTTTTATTCAGAGTTCTAAGACAATTGTGATGCCCCCCCCAAAAGAAACTGAGAAATCCAGTCTGAATTAGACAATTATAAAATGTATATTTAAAGAAGTGTTTTTACAATATCAGAGCTAAATATAAACTGCAGAACTATTTTAATTTTTTTTGTTGAGAGGCTTTGAGTAGAAAGAGATCTTAGATATATCTAAACTTAACATCTTACAAAATAAGGAAGCCACCTTCATGACATCCATGAGAAACAAACAAAAATCTCAATATTTAAAGCCTCACTAGTTGAGGAGTTGCAGTTGTAACTTTTAAAAGATATTTCAGTAAATATCTTTACTGCTCTGAAATATAGCATACAAAAACATGTAATACAGTTTAAAAATCATAATAAAAGACACTCCTGAATCTTCCTACCCAGGCCAAGAAACAAAACAATACCATACCTCACCTAGGAGCACTTGATGTACTCCTCCTTGATCACATTCCCTACCACTGATCATGATCTTGCTTTTATTTAGCTTATGTGTTTTTTAACCTATGAATGATTTTCTAAATATTACCTCTGCATCTTTCTATACTGCAGAAGAAGAAAATATTGCACATATTTTCCTGTGCATTACTCTACAAAATAATCTCTAATTTTATCTATATTGAATTCCTCATTCTTATTGCTATACTATATCCCATTGATGAATACACCATTAATTCTTTGTCCAGATTACACTACCATCAGCAGCAGATTAAAATTTATATGGCTCCATAACCTCACAAATGCTTAACATTTTCAAACATTTTAAATACTGCCAATGTCACTGCCAATTTCATCCTAGTTTTAATGACAATTTCACAATAGTTACACATCATAATATAGGTTCATGGGTTATTTGTGTTTGTCCTTCTCTGAATCCTTTTCATTTTGGGAAAACATTTTTATTAAAATGTAAACTACTACATAGGAGTACGTAACTCTAAGTATAAAATTCAATAAATTTTCAAGAAGTAAACACACTCATGCACCCAAAATCCAGATCCAGAACATTACCAGCAACTCAGAAGCTCCCTCATGCTCTCCAGAATCATTACACATACTTCCAAAAGGTAATGACTATGATGCTCTAATTTTAATTTTTAATGTACTAAAATTTTTGACAACTAAAGTCATAAAAGAATTGTTTTATTTTGCAATAAAAGTAACAAAGGCACACCAAGTCATGTGTCTGTCTGCTCATTTCTTATTTGGCTGTTGGCTTCCTTATACATGTTGGATAAGTCTTTTAAGTTATGTGTTGCAAACATTTTTTCCCAATTGATCAGTTTGCCTTTTTCATTTTTAAGTGTCTTTCAAAAATCAGAAAATTTTAATTTTATGAACTGTAATTTTTTTCTTCTTTCATATTTGCATTTTTTAAAACCCAAGATATCTTTACTTACCACAAGGACTCAAAGATTTTTCTCTTACATTTTTTTGTTAAAGAAACTTTATACCCTTAGCCATTTACATTTAGGTCTATGTTCTATTTTAAGTTAAATTTCATTTACCATTTAAGGGTAAATGTTGACCCTCCCTCCCCCCACCCCCCACCCCCACACACAAAATAGTTATTTCAGAACCATTTGTTGTAAGGACTATTCTTCCCCCTATTTACCTGGACTTAACTTTGTAAGAAAACAAATATATATTAAACATACATTACTCTGTAAATTTATTTCTGGATTCTATTTTACCTTATTTACTTATATGTCTACTAGAGGCCCAGTGCACAAAATTCCTGCATGGGTGGGGTCCCTAGGCCTGACTGGCATTCAGGGCCATTCAAGTTCCCTGTCTCCCCGCCTCCTCCTTCCCTCACTGCCCACACACCACCACTGCGCGGTTCCCCGCCTCCCCCCTCCTCCTTCCCTCGCCACCCGCATCTGCCGCCACCCACTCCCAGTTCCCCATCCCAGCCTGGGGCCCGGCCCTGATAGGGTGATCAGGACCTGCCAGCCGAGGGGAGGGACTGGGAGATTGGCCTGCTGGCCTCGATCAGGTGATTAGGGCCTGCTGGCCAGGGTAGAGACCAGGAGGTTAACCTCCAGGCCCCATCAGCTATTGGGGCCTGTGGGCTGGGGGGCAGCTCCTGCGTTGAGAGTCTACCTCCTGGTGGTAAGTACGCATCACAGTGACCGGTCGTTCTGGTCATTCTGTCCTAATGGTCACCTAGGCTTTTATATAGATAGATAGATAGATAGATAGATAGACAGACAGACTCTTATGCCACTACAGCACTTTCTTGAATAACGTAACTATAAAATAAACCTTAACATCAAGTATTAGATATTCTCCAACATTATTTTTATTCAAAATTGTTTTGGCTAATATGCATCTTTTGCATTACCATATGTACATTATAGATGCTTGTTAGTTTCCAGAAGAAAAGTCTTTTGGTATTTTCATTATAAGAAACCTATGGAGTTTGGTGAAAATTGTCATGTTAATTAAGTCAATCTTCCAACCTTGCTTGATTATGTATATCATTCCATCTATTTAGGTCTTATTTAATTTTTTTTTCCAGAAATGTCTTATAGTTGTAAGTATATAAGATTTGTAGTTTGTTAATTTTTTCCTATGTATTTTAACTTCTTTTAATGCTATTATAAGTGGAATTTTTTATTTTCATTTTTAGAAACAACTAATTATTTACATTGATAATGTATGCTGAAACCTGCTTACTTTTCTAGCAGTATTTTTCCACATTCCTTAGAACTTTGTGCATAAAAGATCATGTAATCTGCAAATAAAGATAGTTTTTATTTTCTGTTTCCATCCTGTCTTTATTCTTCTTAACTACTGCAGAGGCTAAAACCTTCAGTATATAAGTCTAAATAGAAGTGGTGAGAAAAGATATTCTTGCACTATTCTTGATCTTATGAAAAGATGATATGGAAAGCATTTAGTGTTTTTCAAATTAAGAATGATATCAGCTATAGGTTTTTATCCAAGATGTTCTTTACCAGGTAGTGGATGCTACTTTTCCCCCTCAGTTTTTTAACAGTCTTTAGCATGAATGATTGTTGGATTCTGTCAATACTTTTTCTTCTTCTACTGAGATGATCAGATATTTTTTTCTCCTTTACTCTATGAATGTGGTTAATAACACAGACTGGCGAACCATATTTGCTTTCTTAGAATAAATGTGTTTGGTTATAGTATGATATACTTTTTACATATCAAAATATTTGGTTGTACTATTTGTTAAGGATTTTTACATCTGTGTTAATGAACACATTAGTCTATAGTTTTCTTTTCTCATAATTCCTTTGTCAGGTTACAATAGAATAATGCATGCAAAGAAATAAGAAAGTATGACCCATGCACAGTAAAAAAGAAAAAAAAAAAAAAAGCAGAAAACAGTGTAAGAGAAATTACAGGTATTGGACTTAACTGCAAAAACTTTAAACTGTCTTAAATACTCTCAGCTAGAAAGAACTGTGAAGAACTAAAGAAAAATAAAATAGTGACGTCACAATAAGTAGAAAATATCAATAAGAAGATAGGAATTATAAAAAGAAATGAAACAAAAATTCTAGATGTGAAAAGTACAATAACTAAAAAAATGCATTCGAGAATTTCAATAAGATATTTGAGCTAGCAGAAGAAAGAATCAGAAAATTAAGATAGGTCAGTCAAAATTGACAAGAAGGAATAAAGAAAAGTGAACAAAGCCTATGAGACCTGTGGGACACCATGGAGTAAATATATGCAATATGAAAATCCCAGCAGAACAGAAATGAGACAGAAGAAAAGTCTTCAAAAATAAGAGTCAAAAAATAACAGCCAAATGTGATAAAATACATGAATCTAAAAAAATACAAGTTTACTAAAATCAAAGTAACATACACTCAAATAGACCCGTACCAAAACATAATCAGTTAAATGACACTCAGAGAAGAAGCCAGTCTCCTTATACTAGGTATCATTAAATTAACAGATTTCTTGTCAGAAACCATGAAGGACAAAAAGTAATAGAATGACAATTAAAGGACTTTTTGACCACATGTTAGGCAAAGGTTTCAGATGAGATAAAAAGCTTCGTCCATTAAAAATACATATATATTGTATAAATTAAGTTTCATCAAATTTAAAACCTCTGCTCTTAAAAAATAAATAAGCTCAGCAAGACCCGTACCAAAACATAATCAGTTAAATGACACTCAAAGAGAGAAGAAGCCAGTCTCCTTATACTAGGTATCGTTAAATTAACAGATTTCTTGTCAGAAACCATGAAGGACAAAAAGTAATAGAATGACAATTAAAGGACTTTTTGACCACATGTTAGGCAAAGGTTTCAGATGAGATAAAAAGCTTCGTCCATTAAAAATACATATATATTGTATAAATTAAGTTTCATCAAATTTAAAACCTCTGCTCTTAAAAAATAAATAAGCTCAGCAACAGACTATGAAAAAATATAGCAACACACTAAAGTGTTTAGTGTAATGGTACAACATATCAGTAACTTACTCTCAAATGGTTTGAGAAAAAAACTTCTTTACACTATTTTTACAAGATTTCTATAAGTTTGAAATTATTTTAAAAGTAAAATGTTAAACCTAAAAATATCAGAATGTTAAAAAGAGAAAAAGGCGAATAGATATTTTCTTTTTGAAATTCATTTGTAAGGAGAGGTAGGGCATATAATATAAAACCCAGAAATCATTAAGGAAAAATCTAGTAACTTTGACTACATAAAATATAAAAAATTTGGCATGGCAAAAATAAATGTATCAGATTTAAAAAAATAACACATTTTTTTAAAAGTGCTAATTTCCTTAGCTAGAAAACCGTAACTCAACAAAAGACATAAACAGCTGTTTTCAAAATTAGAAATGCATATACCCAATACACTTATGAAAATAGGTTCCATATTATTTATAAAGAAATTCGAATCAAAACCACAACATAACATTTTTTCATTTAATAGAATTTAACATTTGTTAATAGTCAAGATTAATGAGAATGGATAAACATTTACTATTTACTATTGGTGGGACTATAAATTAGTACTCAAATTAGAAAAGAAATTTGGCAAAGTTCATTAAATTATAAAATTTATAGTTTTTTACTCAACAATTCTACTTCTAGGAATTTATATAATAATTAAAAATATACCCAAATATATGAATAAGGAAGTTCAAAACCATTTTTTTATAACTATGAACACTCATAACAATACGAATGCCCATCAAAACGGATTATGTTAGTTAAAGGATAGTATACTCACATAATTCAATACTACAGGCTGGGGAAAAGTAGGTTCATATGGAAAATACCAAAATAAACTCTGTGCTCACAACTGTAAATCTACTTTTGCCCCATCCTGTATATCACCATAAAAAAGAATAAGGTAGATCTGTGCTAACACGAAAATATCTTTAAGGTGAGTAAGATAGGTAATTATGATTAAAGAATACAGATTCAGAACAGTAAGTGTATTCCCACTTACGTAAATTTTAAGAACACAATATATATACTTGTATGTGCACATACACACAGGTGCATATGTTTGTATGTGTGTGTACTAGCATATGCCATAAACATTTTAAGAAAACTAGAGATGCAATGGTTAATAGTGTTATCACTGAGGAGAAAAATTAGAGGCTGGAAAAGTGAAGATAGGTAGACATCACTTTTCTTTATGATATGCATTTTTTACTTCATCATTTGCTCTTTTAAAATGTAGTAATTTTTAAAGGTCTATTCATAATGAATTGAGTTGTTTTTACCCTAAATTTCTGGGGTTGTTAAAATACTATTTGTGAATTCTTTTTAATTTTTGCTTTTGTTAATTTTGTAAATAACATTACCTGAAATGGCTTGACAGGGGCATGTACTTCAGTTGCAGGTGTGGGTTTTGGAATGCTTTCAATCAATTCCAAAATTCCTTGCAGTTTTTTATCTGAGATTCGCAAAGAAATCAGTGGTAACTTTCCAAAAATCTTGAATCTATTTCAAAAAGAGAGGAATCACTATAAAGCAATTTTCATTCTGATTTAAGTGAATTGATTAAAAGGATGAGACTGTTTCCCTTAAATTATCCAAAAATAATCAAATGTGATTTTACCACTAAAAATTATCCACAGTCCATGGACAAACTATCCCATAATCTCCACTAAAATTTACATTTGACCTATTGACCAGTCTCATTAGATAAAATAATCTCATTATTTTTCAGAAGCTTATTTTTTAATGTTATTATGTTTATTATCTCTTTATTATTTGCCAAGGACAGTTAACAATGACTATTTATCAAGTGTTAATTACATGATAAGCATTAAGGAAAGCACTTGATATGCATTATGCTAAATAGTCTCACAACCCAAGAGGGAGTCAACTTATTTCTGTTCCCTATTTCTTATAAAGTTCCCATATGTATATAGTTCCTATCAGGAAACTAAGGCTTTAGCAAGTTCAAATAACTTGTCTAAGAGTTATACATCTAAAACCAATTTTAAAAATCTGACCTGACTGAAAAGGAAAAATTACATGATCATATAAATAGATCCATGTGACAAAATCCAACATACATTCATAATAAAAATTAAAAAAAAGAACTCTCAGTCAACTAGACTAAAGGAGAACTTCCTCAACTGGAAAAATCATCAGTTAACATTATACTTAGTAGTGAAGAAACTCAATGTTTTCCAACTAAGATTAGGTATAAAGCAAAGATATCCCTCTCATCACTCCTTTTCAAGATGGTACTGAAAGACCTAGCCAATGCAATAAAGAAAAGGAAATAAAAGCCATATAGATTGGAAAAGAAAACATAAAACTGTCTTTGTTCAATGATGAAACGTGGCCTATGTAGAAAACCCAAATAATAAAACAAAAGCAAAATTAAATAAAACAAAACAAAAAACTAATAGCCATGGAACTAATAGCCATTATTGTAAGGTTGCAAGATACAAACTTAACACACAATAGTCAATCCCTTTCCTATAAACCAACAACAAAAAAGTGGAATTTGAAATTAAAAACACAATATTATTTATATTAGTGCCCCTAACAGAAATACTCAGGTATAAATCTAACAAGATATATACAAGATCTACAGAGAAAAACTGCAGAACTCTGAAGAATGAAATCAGAGAACTACATAAATACAGACACTCCATTTCATAAGTAGGAAGACTCAATATTGTCAAAATGTCAGTTCTTCCCAAATTGATCTGTAGATTCAATGCAATCATGAACAAAATCCCAGCAACTTATTTAATGAATATTAACAAAATAATTCTAAAATTTGTATGAAGATGCAAAAGAACAGAATAGCCAACATAATATTAGAGGAGAAGAACAAGGTTGGTAGACTGACACTCCCTGACTTCAAGACTTACTATAAAGCTACAGTAAATAAGACACTGATACTAGTGAAAGAGTAAACAAATAGATCACTCAGCCAGAACAGAGGGCCCTGGAATAGACCTCCAAAAATACAGTCAACTGATCTTGGACCAGGCTCCAAACACAATACAATGGAGCAAAGACATTCACTTCAACAAATGGTGGTGGAATAACTGGACACCTACATGCAAGAAAAATGAATCTAGATAACAGACCTTAACCCTTCACAAAACTCAAAATGGATTACAGACCTAAATGTAAAACAAAAAACGACAGAACTCCAAAAGATAAATTCAAGAAAACCTAGTTGACTTCAGACATGGCCATGACATCTTTTTATACAAAGGCACAATTCATGAAAAAATAAAAATTGATAAACTGGACCTCATTAAAATTAAAACTTCTGCCCTATAAGAGACAATGAGATACCACAACGCACCTATTAGAATGACCAAAATCTGGAATATTGACAATACCAAATAATGGCAATGGTGTGGAACAGCAGGAACTCTCATTCGTTGCTGTTGGAAATGCAAAAAGGTGCAGCCACTTTGGAAGAAGTTTGGTGGCTTCTCACAGAAGTAAACATTATTTAACCATAGATGCAGCTACTGAGCTCCTTGGTATATACCCAAAGGAGCTGAAACTTAATGTCCCCACAAAAACCAGCACACAAATGTTTATAACATCTTTACTCATAATTTCATATGAATGAAGCTTATCCACATAAACTTTATATTCCAACTGTATAGTCAAAACCTGGAACCAACCAAGATGTCTGTCAGTAGGTGACTGGATAAACTGTGGTACATCAGACAATGGAATATTATTCAGAACTAAAAAGAAATGAGCTATGAAGTCATGAGAAGACATGGAAGAACTTTAAATGCATGTTACTAAGTGAAAGATGTTAATCAGAAAAGGCAACATATTGGTCTTAGCTGTTTTGGCTCAGTTGGTAGAGCGTCAGCCTGAGGACTGAGAATCAATGAAATATGGTATTGCCTTAGCTTCAGAATTACTGAGAAAATCTATTACCACATGAAACAAACAATACATACTTAGGCATCCTTATATCCATGAAAACCATGGCCTTAGAGAATTCCACATTGAAGTGCAAAGGTACCAAAACATGCTGTGTAGATACATTGAGTTTTCGTGCTTCTTTCCAATTATCACCTAATTATAGAAAACAGTATATTTAACACATGTGTAATTTGAAAGACAATAAACCTAAAATTATTTTTAATACTTCATAGTCATACACTGCGTGATATGGGGAAACCTTCCCACCCACATCAGGATAATCTTTAATACCACATGCCCAGGTACACACACACAACAATTGGCAGGTAAATTCTTTTCCCTTTCACATTTTACTTTTGCTGCTTCACAAGACTGTGTTTTAATAGGAAAAAATGCTGATAAGAAACAACAACATAGTTTTAATCAAATCTACTGCACATTCACTGGTAATCACTGTAACCAGCCAGATACCTTACCAAAAAACCCAACATGGCTCTAAGGCAGTGGTTCTCAACCTTCTGGCCCTTTAAATACAGTTCCTCATGTTGTGACCCAATCATAAAATTATTTTCGTTGCTACTTCATAACTGTAATGTTGCTACTATTATGAATCATAATGTAAATATCTGATATGCAGGATGGTCTTAGGCGGCCCCCATGAAAGGGTTGTTCGATCGCCAAAGGGGTCGCAACCCACAGGTTGAGAACCACTGCTCTAAGGCAATAATGACTAAAGTAGGGAAGATCGCAGTTTTTCAGTATTAACTCACAAAAGCTGCCATTTATTCAAGATTTATAACTGGTACCGTTCTAGGCAATGTTTAAACTTTCACTTAATTCTCACAATGATGTATAACCATCTCATTTTAGAAAACTGAGACACAGAGGAATTTATAACTTGCTTATGGCCAAAAGGCTAGGGAGTAACAAAAGCTGAAATTTACATCCAGGTCTGGCAACATTCACTGCAGTGTTACAAGCCTAAATTTTCAATAAGGCAATGCTAAGTAAGTGACAGCGTAGCCTTAGAACATTAGATAAAAATCATGGATTCAGCCCCGGCTGGCATGGATCAGTGGTTAAGCGTTGTCCTGTGAACCAGGAGATCACGGTTCGATTCCCGGTCAGAGCACATGCCCAGGTTGTGGGCTCAATCCCCAGTGTGGGGCATGCAGGAGGCAGTTGATCAGTGATTCTCTCTCATCATTGATTTTTCTATCTCTCTCTCCCTCTCACTTTCTCTCTGAAATCAATAAAAATATACATATTTTTTAAAAGTCATGGATTCAAGTGCCCAAAATATTACGGGTAAGTGAAAGAAAAAACAGGATATAATACTACGTCATGTTAAAAACGCATTCAAAATATTCCCACTCATAAGCAACACACAAGCATATTCCATATACTCATAGGTACATATATTGAAAAAAACAGCAAAAGGATATGCAGTGAAATACATTACATACATGATCTCATTTGAACCTAATAATTCCGTAAGTCAGATAAAATCCTCAGTCAAGAAAAACCAAGCGAACAAAAGATTAGATTCTTGGAGATAGGTAATAAAATGGATCTTATGACAATTTTTGAATTCTAAATATATTGAGATAAAAGACATATTTCTTCACTTCTCAATTTACAGGTAAAAAATATGATATTCAGAGTCTGTATTTCAGTATTTATCAAAAGAATATATGACAATTACAGAAAGTAACCTAATGTCAAAAACCTTTGCTCAAAAAATACTTTTTTAAGAATAGTTAATGCTTCTCAAAAACATTCCAAGGAATTCCAATACTTTTCTCAAAAACATTCTAAGGAATTCCAATACTTTTCAGACAATAATGATGTATTTTAATTTTTTTTCACAAGCATCTCAATATCTTAAATATAAGTATAAGCTAATGGGCTTCAAAAACCAGTGACCAACATGTACCAAACATACCAAAATTTAGTAATTTATTTACTGAAAAAAATTTATGAATTTTCTATAAATAATTTACATGTGCCACCCACTATACTCCTTTGACACCAACTGGAATATGATAAAAACAAAAACCAATTTCATTACCCTAAAGCAAATATAGTCAGACAAATAAAACAAAAATGTCCCAGTCCTATATAAACTAACATTTTTAATAACCATTACTTCGGGTTCTCTATTGCTTCTCCTTTCATTAGTTAGCTCAGTTAATTAAAATGTGACTATATACACACAGAGAGATCTCTAAAAACAGTCACCAATCCACCTTTGTTGAATTATCTGAATGTTTACTAACACCAAGGAATTCAAAAGCAATATAACACAGTGGAAAGAGGGCTCAAATTCTCAGGGCTCTTTCACTATTCTTTAGTAGCTCCTGACAAGTGAATTTCTGGCTCTGACGACTAGGTCTGGATCAGAGACTCCTGATTAGTACAAAAGAATGAATGGGGTAAGGTATGCTTAAGATAGGGATCCTCCTCCATCTTGCAGTGGCTATTTATGGCTGGGGATGCCTAGGCTGGTTGCATTCACTCTTGAGTAGTCTCTTCTGATTATTCCACTGTGTAATACAAATATTTTTAAAAATGTGTCAATGTTTTCTAATCTTATGCAAATATTGGAGAACACTGGTCTAGATCAGGATTTGTCAATATCAGCACTACTGGAATTTGGGCCAAATTAAGTCTTTGTTGACATTCCTCTACATTCTATGTTTAGTAGCATCCCTGACCTTCATCCACTAAATACTAGTGGTGCCCCGACTGTCCATGTGTTACAACCAAAAATGTCTCCAGACACTGACAGTATCTTTTGCGAGGTAAAATCACTCCCAGTTTAGATATTACTCTTATCTACTACATACTTCTAATTAAAAAATATGGAAGCTCCAACATATTTAGAATGAAGGTCTTCAGAGAAACTGTCTAAACACCTAATTAATCACTTCAGCAAAATGAACAATACATAATGCACTGTATACTTACCAACTCTGCTGTAAAGCAGCTGAATGCTTGTAAGGTGAATATCAAAGGAATCATAAGCTCTACGCATTATCTCTTCAAGTCTGGCCCCACCTTGTTTCATATCTGGTAATTGTGAACGACTTTTGCTTGTCACCTTGAAGTTAATTTTAAAAGTTTAGACAGCGCAAAATACTCCAAAATGAAAAGATCAGGTTTTTATCTTTCAGAATATAATATAAAAAGTTAACTGGGGAGGATAAACTCACAAGCTGACATATAAGGCTATTAGAAATGTCTTTAGCCAAGGCCGGTGTGCTCAGTGGGTAGAGTGTTCGCACACCCACTGAAGGATCGCAGGTTTGATTCCCTATCAAGGGCACATACCTGGTTTGCAGGTTGGATCCCAGCCCCAGTTGGAGCACCTGTGGGAGGCAACCAGTGGATGTCAACTCTCTCTCACATCAATGTTTCTCTTTCTCCCCCCTCTCTTCCCTCCTCTTTCCCTTACTTCTACTCTCTCTAAATATGAATGAAAAAAATATCTTGGGTGACAATTAATGAAACAAAAAAATAAACTTTATCCATGACACATGTAAGAAGAAGGTTAGATATAAAGTGAATTTTTATATATTGTTATATTTCCTAACTCTTTATATTAAAAGAAGGGAACCAAGCTAGTTCTGGAGAATAATACAACTAAATTATTTTAAAATCTGATATGAAGCCTTTTTATTAAAAACAAAAAGGCTTATAAAACATTTCTTTGGCATGATGACTGGTATTTAAATAGTTTTATAATAAGAACTGAAAGTCCAGGATTAAATATTAGGACAGCTGAATTTTATTCCCAACTCTGTCATTTATGTGACCCCAAGCAAGTTATATTTGTATCTTATTTGTATCTCCCCTTTATTGATGTACTATGCACACTACTTTTCTTTTTTCTTTAAATATATTTTATTGATTTTTTACAGAGAGGAAGGGAGAGGAATAGAGAGTTAGAAACATCAATGAGAGAGAAACATCGATCAGCTGCCTCCTGCACACTCCCCACTGGGGATGTGCCCGCAACCAAGGTACATGCCCTTGACCGGAATCGAACCCGGGACCCTTGAGTCCGCAGGCCGACGCTCTATCCGCTGAGCCAAACCGGTTAGGGCTACTTTTCTTTTTTCACATAAATATCTTGGAGATCACTCCACAGCAGTATATCAAGATCTTACATAGATACATATACACACACACACACACACACACACACACACACACACACACTGGAATATACACAAATATATATGTATATAGGTTTTTTAATAAAACTATATACATACATATAGATTTTATATAGCTCATGTGTACACAATCAAAATTCAGTATCTCTCTTTGAAAGGTAATGACTTTTAAGCAAAAAATTAAGCAAATTGCCTAAGATCACAAAACAAGATTAATATCCTTACAGCTGACCTTATGCTCTCTCAACTATAACAGACTGCCTTGAACCAATTCCATAACCACATTAAAATATGAATAATTAGCTGTATAAATATTATAACTGTAAATTCAGCAGTTGTCTATATAATTATCAACTGAAGAATAAAACATAGAAAAAAGGAGAATGTCAAGAAAAGGCACATATTTGTTAGAAAGCCAGAAAGAGCATTCTAATATTATTCATCCTTCTTGGGTCTTTAAATAGTTACAGCTATTCCTCTACATTTAATGATATAGAGCAGTGTTATCCAATAGAACTTTCTACAATGTTGAATTTGTTCTCCATCTGTGCTGTTTAATACAGTAGCTACTAGACACTTGTGACTATTAAACACTTGAATGTGGCTAATGTGACTAAGGAACTAAATTTTTATCTTACTTTATTTTAATCAACTTAATCAACCGTATATAGTCAGGGGGTACTATATAAACCAGGGGTGGGGAACATCCGGTCCGCTAGCCACATAAGGCCCATGAAATCATATGATCTGGCCCTGTCAAGGCATTAGGGGTGACTTAATTGACTATTTGACCAAATATAGCAGGATAATTTTTAAGTGGATAATTTTGTATTGCCCACAAATTATGTTATAAATATACAAATGGGTCTTGGCAAAAAAAAAGGTTCCCACCCCTGAATAGTGCAAATCTGGAAATACAAAAAAAAAAGTATTCTCTATTCAAAACTAAGGAAGGCCCAGCCTGTGTGGATCAGTGGTTGAGCATGGTCCTATGCACCAGGAGATCACAGGTTTGATTCCAGCTCAGGACACATGTCCAGACTGCAGGATTGATCCCCAGTACGGGGCGTGCAGGAGGCAGCCAATCGATGTTTCTCATCGACGTTTCTCTCTCTCTATCCCTCTTCTTCCCTCTCCCTAAAATCAATCAAAACATATTTAAAAAAAAAAAAAACTAAGGAAGAAAAATATACATAAGTGGATAGAACTATGTAAATTAGGTAAATGCAAGACAACCATCTCTCAATTTAGGATTATTTAATAGAAATTAACATATCAGTATCTAAAGTTATATACATACAAAAATTCAGAAGGACGAAGATTATGTGATTACTTCCAGAACTCCCTCACACTCTCTATATTGTAATTAATCCAGTAATAAACTTAAATTGAAAAGAAAATCAACTCCTTAGGCATTACTCTCAAATTCTACATATAATTGTAATTCTTTGGTTCACCTCTGACCTGTGGAGTTCAATTGTTCATTTTGCTTTTCGAAATGTAGGAAAACTACCTAATTAAATGAAATCATTTTATTCACCAGAAAAGATTTCTCATAAGTCTAAAAACCAATATACCAAATCAAACTGTCTTAAAAAACAAAACATATTTTAAACAAAGAAATACCCTAAGTACCACATTCCAAGATAAATATTATTAATATATACCTTTAAATGACCAAGATCCAAAAGAAGCAGATTTGACGTAGGGCTGAAAATTCCATCTTGTGGGATAATAACATATGAAGCTTTCAAATTAATTCTGAGATCAAGAACTTTCTGTGTTTCAATAATATACAGTAGACCTGCAGAAATTAAATCTTCACAATGAATATTTTCCACAAATTACTCAAAAAATAGTTATTAAATGAACTGATAGCACAATCTTAAAATAATGTGAAAAAAGAATTCATTTTAAAATGACCTTGAGCAAATTATTTTCAATATCAAGTAAAAGTATTTGTTAGTTAATATATACACTCCTAAGTAAATATAACTAAGTACAAAATTAAAATGATTCTTCAAATAAATGTTGTTTTTAAGCCCCCCCAAAAAAACATTTTAGGTAATATTCAGGAGATAATATATCTAAAAAAATTAAGTATTATGAAACATTTATTCATAACCCCTATATTAGAATCTATATAATTCTTTCCAAATCATGAACTTAATACAACTACATCTACCATACTGAACAATAATTCTTTATACTTATGACATTACTGAGACGAGAAAAAATCCTGGATAATTAAATCACCTCAATAAAACCATATGTAAAACAGAAAAGGCAACAAAGCAGAGTTCTCCATTCCTCAGATATTTCATTAACTTGAGGTGTTTTATTCTAATAAATTTAATTCATTGACTTTAATGTGATTTATATATCAAACTAATCTATTTTATGGTCTCAAATCTAGCATGGGCTGTTAAATCTAAAATTATTATCAACTATCAAATTATAATGACCCCATGAGATGAAATTCTGTAAGCAGCTATTGCATCAATTTGAATCAATAAGCAATGTTAATTTATAAAGTTTAGGACATCTGATATTCAAAAAGAAAGGGACATTAGTTCACAAAGACAACAACCAAACCCACACAAGAACTATGATGAGGATCAGATATTTTTAACATAAACTCTGAGAAAATAAAAATGACAATAGCACACTAATATGTAAAATTCTGAATAGCTCGACTGAAAAATTTAAGTGATGTAGTTTATTTAATGTGTATAACCTTTACTTCAATAAAAAATTTTGTTCAGAACAGGTAGAGGCTAGAAAACATCACAAGAGAACTGAAAGGCAAAGGGGCAGTAATTAAATCAAAAAGACCATTGCATAAAGTCCTATGATTTTATAAAAGAATTCAAAGGCCAGTTTCTGTCAAACAAAATTTCAAAATTCCCAACAAAATTTTGTAATTAACTTGAATGTAGTTAATAGGTTTGACCTGAGTGTAAGGAATAATTGTTATATCTGCGTTTAAATTTAAGTATAAAATTAGTTTCAATTAAACTGTATCTAGTCTGGAAAGAAACTTAATACATTACTAAAATCAGCTTTAAATGCCTAAGAGTTTAGTACAAGATTCAGTATGTAATACTGGCATTTTTACCTGTTGCTGTCTTATCACGAAATTCTTCAAGTTTTGTCAAAGTCGCTGAAGTGAGCTGTGCTAGATTTACCTCTTTCGGAGGTCTGAAGAATTCCACTATACTATTCACTGTTCTCTGGGAAAAATAAGTATCATTAAAATTAGGCATAAAATCAAACCAAATTGAAATATATTAAAATTTAGAAATTTAAAAAATGCTTACTGCATCATATATTATTTCTAAAGGTTCAGCTTCTATGATACACCTTTGAGCAACAGTTTCATCTAATGGATTTGTCTCAAATGTAATCTGGAAAAGTGATGCAGCATTATCCAATGAGGACAGGAGGCGGGGTTTTGTTGAATTATCTGGTAGGCCAGTAACATGAAAGGAATCTATTCTGGTCTCAAATCTGCATGAAAAAAGAATAAATATTAGCAATAGATATACTTTGTGCTTAAAAGACTACCATTAAAAATTAAAAGAAAACAATGAATGGGATAAATTAAGTGAAAATATTTTATGTGATAAGAGACTTATATAAATAATATAAAAAGAACACTTACAACTCAGTAATAAAGACAACCTAATTTGAAAATGAGCAAAAGAACTTAAAGATATTTTTCCAAAAAAATATAGTGACTAAGCATATGAAAAGATGTTCAACTTCATTAGCAATCAGGGAAATGGAAATGCAAATCCAACCAATGAGACTAGTTTATACCCATTAAGATGGCTATAATCAAAAGGAAAAATTAGTGTTGCCAATGATACAGATAAATTGGAAACCTAATACACTACTGGTAGAAATGGAAAAGTCTGGCAATTCCTCAAAAGGTTAAGCAGAGTTACCATGTGAGACAATTCTACTCCTAGGTATATACTCAAGGTAATTTAAAACTTAATGACACAAAATATTGTCCATGAATATTCATAGCAGCATTATGCATAATACCCAATAAGTGAAAATAATCCATTACCCATCATCTGATGAATGGACAAACAAAATGTGGTATATCCATATACTGGAATATTATTAGGGATTAAAAATGAATGCTACACCATGGATGAACCTTGAAATATGGTTAAGTGAAAGACAGACAGAAAAGCCATATTACATAATTCTGTGCATATTAAATGCCCAAAACAAAGTCTTAGGAATAAAGTAAATTAGTTATTGCTAACACAAGGGAGGGAGGCAATGAGGAGTGACAACTAATGAGTATTAGGGTTTCTTTTTTAGGGTGTAAAAATGTTCTGGAATTACCTGATAAACATAACAATGTAATGTGGCATACAGTGTCACAAACAAATGAATTGTACACTTTAAATGGATGAATTGTATATGTGAATTATATCTCAGTAAAGCTATTTTTTATTATTTTTAAAATCTTTATTGTTGAAAGTATTACATGTTCCCTTTTCCCTCATTGATCTATCCCAGCCCACCCCCGGCCCCCCACCCAAGGCCTTTACCACCCTATTGTCTGTGTTCCTGGTTTGTTTTTTTTAATTAATCTTTATTGTTCAAAGTACTGCAGATGTACCTTTTTTCCCCGAAGTAAAGTCATTTTTAAAAACAAAAGTGAAATACATTTCCAAATAAACACCAAACTATTAATGTTGTTTCTTCTCTGTATAGTGTGGCTTACTGAGATTTTTGTATTATCCTTTAGTGTCCTTCTATGTTTCCTGAGCATGCACAGTGTTCTACTGAATATGTATTATTTTAATAATTATAAAATATATATATTACTGAAAAAAATCTAAGTTCCTAAAAGTACAAAAGGATATATTAAGCCATAGTACTCTTTGGAAAATACGGTAAAATTGTAATCTATCTTCCAATTTCACAGTGAATTTTTTCTTACAGATAAAAGATAATAACCCAGCCAGCATGGCTCAGTGATTGAGCATCGATCTATGAACCAGGAGATCATGGTTCGATTCTGGGTCCGGGCACATGCCCAGATTGCAGGCTCATCCCCAGTATGGGGTATGCAGGAGGCAGCTAAAAGATGATTCTCTCTCATCATTAATGTTTCCATCTCTCTCTCCCTCTCCCTTCCTGTCTGAAATCAATAAAAATATATTTTTTTAAAAAGATAAAAGAAAATAAATGAATACTTACTTTATTGCTTGTGCTCCTGGTCTTTGTACAACCCAAGTGCTAAATTCTTCTACTACAATATTTAACAGCTCACATTTTTGTTGTTCTTCTCTTAGAACAATAGACATACTTTTCAAGTGCATGTACAACTTCATGGCTTCAAACTAGAGTATATTCAGATGAATAAAATTAAATACACACACATATGTATGTATATCAAACACTCTTATTCATATCCTATTCACATAATTTATTCTTTCCAAAAACCAGAAAACAGTTTAAAAGCAACCCTTATATCTTAAAGAATCACCCTATAACATTACAAAGTATGGGACAACATTTACCCCTACCTTGGAAATTAAAATAAAAACAATATTTATAGACCCAGAAGAAAATCACAGAACAAGTCAGTAACGTAATTCCAAAAGGATTAAAAATATCTTTCAACAGTGAGATATAAGGCATCAAAACCTTACTGATTTTGGCAAGGTTGGGTCAACTGCTGTTTCACTATAGCCAATTGCTTCATAGAGTGAAGTTTTTTCTTCAGGTGTCAAGATTTCTTCAAGACCTACAAATTATAAACAAAGTGTTCTATGTTTTTAACTGATAACAAGATAAAACTAACCCATAATTTAGATGCCTTTAATAAATTAAATGCAAATTTTACTCTTTTGATAATACTTTTAAGAAATTATAATCACAATGTTAGAATGACATTGGCAATTTTAGAAGGATTATTCTCCAAAACTATAAATTTCTAAATACTGGTATCAACCAAGAGCTTACAAAATGGCTAACTGTATTTGGCACTGTGCTAGGGAACACACCTAGCACAAAAAGTAAGCAATACTAATATCATAATTTCCCCCAGTTTTACAATTAATAAAACTGAGATTCAAAGAGCTAATAACTTACCAGAGACACAGTGCTAATAAGTGATAGATTCAGTATGTAAACCTAAGCCCCTAAGACCTCAATGCTTTAATCTTAAGCATTTGGTTAGGAAAATCTTTACAAGAAATCAATTAAATAAAAATTTACAATGGTTTATACACTTTTGAAATCTTTATTTATCTGTTATTGTGCTATATGCATTTACCAAATCCCCTGGGCATAAAACTCTTTTGTGAACACTAGTAAAATAATAAAATTATTTAATTTTTACTAGTCATCCTATCTAATAAAAGAGAAACATGGTAATTAGCCGTACATCCGCTACCCTTCCCATTGGATAATCAGGGCGATATGCAAATTAACTGCCAGCCAAAATGGCAGCCGGCAGCCAGGCAGCTAAGCGAACAGGGAGGCTTGCTTGCTCCAGTGACTGGGGACTCCAACGCTCCCCGCCTGACTTGCCGGCCTCTCAGCTGCAACTCTAAACAACTATGTTGCAAATATAGAAGCTAAACAAAACCCCAGAAACCTGCTTTAGTCAGCCAGGCTTCAGCCAGCCGGACCGCAACATTGTATCAAATACAGAAGGTAAACAAAGGCCAGAACCTGCTTTCAGCAGCCGAGGCCTCAGAGCTAAAGCTGGCCCA